TGAGCTATTCCGAACAGAATTAGGGGCAAGTTCACCATCCTTCCCTTCAAGAAGAGAAGGCCAGGGGCAGGAGAGATGGATCAGCAGTTAAGTGTATTGGTTGGTCTGGCAGAGGACCCAGAACCCACAAGGAAGTTCACAACAATAATTCCAGGTCTACGGGATCTTATGTTCTCTTCTGAGCTTTATGGGCACCAGACATGCACATGGTATGCTTATATATATTCAGGTAAAACACTCAGAACATGAAAAGTAAAAAATAAGTAAATCTAAAAGAAGAAGAGGAGGAGGAGAAAGAGGAGGAGGAGGAGGAGGAGGAGGAGGAGGAGGGGAGGAGAAGGGGGGGAGAAAAAGAAGAGGAAGAAATCCAAGTCAGCAACTGAGTATAGATTCACCAGAGTTAAACTGCAGACATTCTATAGGAACTCCAATTTTAAACCACCTCACTCAAATCAATACATGTGCACTGCTATGAACTCAGTATGTATTATGTTCCCCTCAAAGAAAATCTGTTGGAACATCTATACCCAACATGATGGAATGTGGAAGGGAAGCTTTTGTTATGTGTTCTAGTTTCCTTCCTATCTCCCTGACTAAAAGCAACTTAGGAAAGAAAAGGGTTTGTTTGGATTTCACTTCTAGGTCATCGTTTACCACTGAGGGATGCCAAAGCATGAATTCAAGCAGACACAATAGAGGAACTTTACTTGCTCGCTCACAAAGGCTCATTCTCAACTAGCTTCCTTAAGCAGCCCAGATCCACCTGCCCAAGGAATGGTGCTGCCCATAGTGGGCTAGGCCCTCCCACATTAATTAACTGTCAAGACATCTCCCCCAAAGACATGCCTGCAGGCCACTCTGATCTGGGCAATCTCTCAATTTAAGACTCCCTTCTCAAGTGACTCTCAGCTGCGTAAACTTGACACTTAACACTAACTAGGCCAATAGGAATATTAGTTATTATTCTCATTGTTATAATCAAATATCTGATGAGGGGCAAATTAAAGGAGAATGGATTTATTCTACATTCTAGTTGAATGGGATGCATTCCATCATGGTGGAAGAGACTAGCAGTGAAGAAAACTTTGGAGCGTGAAAAGGAAATTGGACAAGGGTATGAAAACTTCAAGTCCCACCCCCAATGACCCACTTCCTTCAGTGAGCATCCACTTCTTAAAGGTTCTACAGATTTCTAAAACAGTATCACCAGCTGAAGACAACATGTTCAATACATGAGACCATGAGGGACATTTCACTCTCACACCACAATATTCTGCCCGTGGCCCCCAATGACTCCAGTCTATCACATAATGCAAAATACATTCATTTCAACTTCAAGCCATCCCCACAGTTTTTGGTACTGTCAACCCTTTTCAAAAGCTCAAAATCCCTCGAGACTCAAGAAATCTCTTTAACTGTGAGATCCTGCAAAGACAGAAAACAAATCCGATAATTCTAATATGAACAGTCACAGATTAAACATTTCTATAACCAAAAGAGGATAATGGGGCCACAGCAGGAGATAACAGACCAAAACAAAACCAGAACCCAGCAGTGCAAACGCCAAATCCACAGTTCCATGGCCCTGCATATGGAGCTTGTGATAGAATCATCTGGGTCCCAAAAAACTTGGGTAACTCTGCTCCTTCTGCTCTGATGTGTGTAGCATACATGGCCTCTCTTTGGGGCCAGTTCCATTGTAATTTCTCAGCTATCCTAGGCAGATGTCTCATGGTCTTGGTATCCCTAATATCTTCAGGTATCCACTACAACTTAATTTTCATCTTTCCAATTTCACAAAACAGCCTTGTGGTTGTCTCTTTGCAGATGATACCATCTTGCCACACGTTATCTGGCCTCAGTAGCTCTCTGAAGCCAGAAAGCAAGACCCACACTGCCTTTGAACTTACATCTTTCATACGTGTAAAACCAATACCATATAGACAATGCCACCGAGTTTTGGCAGCTTGAGATGGTGTCTGGTCCCAGTGGACCAAAGCGGTAGTTATATCTGCGTGCCTTGGTTGGAGAATCTGAAAATGCTTTCCTGATCAATTTATTTTGAATGGGGAGACCCTTCACTCTCCTTCTCAGTTCAGGTTTTCTCCTTTCAAATAAATTTCCATCTCCACATATTAGACATCAATGAGTAAGGGGTTCTACCCTCAGGGCATATTTTCTTTTTTTTTTTTTTTTTTTTTTTTTTTGGTTTTTCGAGACAGGGTTTCTCTGTGTAGCTTTGCGCCTTTCCTGGAACTCACTTGGTAGCCCAGGCTGGCCTCGAACTCACAGATATCCGCCTGGCTCTGCCTCCCGAGTGCTGGGATTAAAGGCGTGCGCCACCACCGCCCGGCTCATATTTTCTATCTCTCCTATGCAGAACAAATTTCTCTTTAACAGTTAGAGCCTCTTTTTCGACACACTTTCGGCTGCAAGTTTAAACTTTCATAAACTCTGTTCTTCAACAAACTGCAGTTTTTACATTTTCCTTCCCAACTTATTGTTCTTCATGGTGTACCTGAGTCAAAATGGTGAGCAATGACCATGCCACAGCCTGAATGCTCTCTCACCTTAAAATTCCCCCTGCTACACACATTAGTCCATTACTTTTAGTTATAACATCATTCAAGCTCTCAGGACATTGGCTTCTTGAATAAACCAGATACAGATTCTCTGCTTGAATATATACAGAATGGCCTCTTGTCTGGTTCCCAATAGAGTCCTTGTTCCCTGAGAAATTACAAGAGCCTAGCCAACACTTTCTGAATTCCTTCAGTTTCCTAGCCTTCCAAACTCCCATCAAAATAGTCCACTGACCCCTGCTTACAGCATTTGAGAGCCTATTCTAAAGTTCTAAATTCTTCCAACTCCCTGTTTTAAATCAGTCCCAAAGACCTAAGAACCACATCGGGGAGGGTGGTTATTAAACAACAGCCCACTTTCCATCACCAAGATTCTTCTGCATTAGATATTTTTCCAAGCGCTGTGACCAAATACCAACAAAAAGCAAATGAAAGGCATGATGATGCTTTATTCTGGCTCACAGTTTGACAGGAGACATTTCAAGATGGTAGGAGGGCATGGTGACAGGAGCGGGAGTCAGCTGGCTACCTTTTATCAGCAGTCAGGAAACATGGGTGAACAAGAGGTGAGCAGGGCTATACAATCTCAAGGTCCACCCTCATTGACCCACTTCTTTCAATGATGGTCCACCTCTTAAAGGTGCCACAACCCTCCAGTGTTGCCATCTGGGGGTCAAGTGCTGAGGTACACAAGTCTATGGGGGATATTTTACATTCAAAGCACAGCAGAAGGCAGTTACGTCATGAGAGTAGGGTCCCCATGAATGGGATCAGAGCTGTATAAGGAGGCTTCAGAAAAATGTGTGAAAGATTCATTCTAACACTCTGTGTGTGTGTGTGTCTGTGTGTGTGTGTGTGTGCGCTCAGAGAGAGAGAGAGAGAGAGAGAGAGAGAGAGAGAGAGAGAGAGAGAGAAA